AATATAAATATAAATAATGTTTTTTGTTATAAATATAAATTATATTTTACAAATTTAAAAATTATAATGTTTTTAACATCTTACCATTGTATCGAAATATAGCGGCAATCAAACAAGTCCGTAAATAAAAATATTTATAACATTAATAAGAATAATTTTTCTTTCTTCCTACTTTAAGCTTAAACTAAAAAGTACGTATGAATTGGCGGGAATTTCTTTAAGACTTATTTAGTCATGCCAACATTTCTTAATAAATAACCATAATTGACCAATAATAGAAATTCTTTACAAATACAAAATAAATGAAATTATTGGATAATGAAATTTGTTACATGTATTTTCATTAATTCATTTTTCATTAATTGTAATTAGTTGATGTAATTAGTTGATAATAGTTGATATACATAAATTGTTGTACAAAGATACCTATGATATAAATTTTTTTTATAAAAATAATAATATATAATAAAACAAAATAAAACAATAAAATTTGTATAATTTTTATTTTTTACTGACATTTGTTGAACAAGAAGTATGTTTTAAAAAGTATAAAGATTGTAATTTGTCTACTACAGAAGTAATTTCTGCTTGTATATTTGCTGCTCTTACAATAAGATAAAGAGATTCTTGAAAACGTTTTTGTGCAATTCGTAAACTCTGTGGGACCAATACTCCAAACCATTTTATAGGATCTTGAATCTCATTTTCAATTTTATCTAACTTTTTTAAACTTATGTCAAAATTTGGAATTATTTTTCCAGTTTCCTCAGTTAATTTTGTTTCTAATTCAAATAATGTAACTACTCTGTCATCATCAACTGGAATCTGTAAAGCACTTATACTTTCTTTACCACGTATGTATTTGGCTTTAGCTAATTCAATATAACCATCACGCAATATTTTTTCCATTTGGACATTGATATTAATTTTTTCTTCTATTAACTCTAAATTACGCAATAAATTTTCATCAATAGCTTTACATATGTCATCTATACTTTCATGCATATTGTATATTATTAATAATATTATTAATATAAAAATAATGGATTTATTTCAATATAATACTGTGGAGTTAAATCTAAAATATAAAAATATAAAAATATAATTAATAATTATATTATTAGTAATAATATTAACTTTAATATGTATATTAAATTTTTATGCATATTTTTATATATTAATTTTTTATACATACCAAGAATAAATATTATTTTTATGTTTTTATAAATTATTATGGTTTGATAATAATTATCGTCTTTGTATTTTAATAATTAGTTTTAGTAAAAACAAATTGTTTATATTAATTCAATTCATTTATTCTATTTTTTTAAAATAATAATGACATGTCATTTCCAAAACTATCAGGATTAGAGCATTTGGCTACACTGCTTGCAGTGCTATTAACTAAAGTATGTGGGTGTTATAAAATTGGTACATCATATAATTTTATGAATATAAACAATGGCAGTTAAAGAAAAGCAAACGGATACTTCTACTGACGAAATAGAATGGAATATTGAAAATGAAATTCAATTATTCTTTGCTATGAATGGTCATAAACCCGTTGGTAAGATTTAGATTCATATAATAACATTGCTCTAGGTTATATTTACATCGATGAAACAAAAAAAAAATAAATATTTAATATTATATAAAATATCTAATTTTGTATAAAAGAAGATTTAATTAGATTTCGTTAATTTTTTTTTAAGGTATTAATAAATATTTTCACATGGTTTGCATATGGGAAAAATTTCGTGCTGCAATTCACAAGGATGTATCATTAAAAACAATTTGGGAACATTTAGAATCAATGTATGATCTAATGGCTCTGGTACTTACTATTACTTTAAAAAATTAATTATAATCAATTAAAATAATCTTGATGATTTATTTAAACTATTATAGGATGATATGGAAGATTTACCATTTCCCAGTCAAGAGATAGATTTTTCTTTACCAGAACAAGAATTTTTGGGGCCAATTAAATCTCGAAAGAGAGAAGAACCAGAATTAAAGCTAAAAGAACAAAGAGATAAATTTAAAGAACTTAAGAAAGAAAAAGATTTTAAGGATATTATGAAAAAAGATACTGTTCTTCGTGATCTTAAAGGAAGTAAAGATATTGATAAAAAAAAGGAAGAATTTAAAAAATATGTAAAAGACATAGAACTCAAAAAAGATAAACTCAGAGAAATTAAAGATATTAGGAAAGACTATAAATCTCCTAAAGGACGATCAAAAGGAAAGGATGATGTTGAAGAAATAGGTATATATATATACATATATATATATATTTTTGATATTTTTAAATGATTTTTAGAGACTAGAAGAAATTAAATAATTTCTTTATTTAGCTTCAAATGGTAAAAAGGAACGTAAAGATTCTGATTCTGGTCGAGAAAGCTTAAAGAGAGGTCCAAAACGACCAACAAGACAAAGTGTGGATTGCACATCTAAAGCATCCTCTAGTCCACGTGATACACCTCCACCAAAACGAAGGAGAATATAACAATTTATTTTAAGTTATTATATGTACATTGTATAAACATTGTTTGAATTTTAATATATGAATAAAATGTGAATCATGTATTTTTCTGTACATGAAACACATAATAACTAATACTTTAAAATTTAATTTTATAAAAAAGATTTACATTAAGTCATTGTAAATATTCTGTAATGAATGCAAAAAAAGTATTAAATGTTTATTAAAATTTATAATAATTTTTTTCGCAAAAAAAAATGCAATATTAAGATAATCAGTATAATTTATTAAGTAATCTAATGATTACAATAAAAATCATATGTTATGAAAATAGATAAAGCAAAAATTGGTATTGATTACTCATTAATCAATATTTATTACAAAGATTGTAACATCTTCATTGACATATATATGTAAAAATTAGATGATTAAAAATTTGGCCATACTGAGTTTATCTGTGCTATTGGAATAATTGGTGATCCTCATTTTTGTCGATGGAATGAATTGTAATATTGTATTATTAAAATAGAATCCGGACACTATAGAAGATTTTTGCGTGTCGAAGATAAATTCTTCTATTTATCGAAGTCTTCTTGCTTCACGTTCAGATTCCAGTAAGGTTAAGAGATCACCTTCTCGTACTGGTCCTTTTACGTTCCTGATAATTTGTCGATTTTGTTCACCCAAAAATTCGACTTTTACTTGCGTACATTGTCCTTGTGAACCTGTTCGTCCTAAAACTTTTATAACACGAGCCAAAACTACTGGCTTATCCATGTTGTCTCACGTGTCTTTGAAAGGACAGAAAGATGTTTTACGGAAATGAAAGAAGCTTTACAATCCAGTAATAAAAATGGCAACTTCCGGCTTGTTTATCCAGCAAAATTATCAATATGTTTAATTAAATAAAATAAAAAAATAGATAATATAAAAAATATGTTTATAATTAGTAAGATATACTTTGTAAAAATAAAAATTATTTAATTATCTTAAACAAATATTGTTATTTAATTTTTGTCATTATAATTTATCTATTAATAGATGGCGTTTTGAATTTAAGCACGTTTTTAATATATTTTTATATACTTAATAAAAATAATGAATATGTTATATTATAATTATTTCTTAAATTATTATTTTATGTAACTATCATGAAATTAAAAACTTTTTAAAATTGATTGATTGTTCAATTGTTATTTTGGTTTTTATAAATTATATATTATAAATTAGTTATATAGTTATAAATTATGTATTATAAATATTTATATATTTTGACAATATGTATTTGTACTCATCAGATTTATAATATTTTAAAATATTTCAATGCAGCAACATGTTAGAAAGTTTAACTTGATTACTACAATTTAAATGATAATATAAATAATATAAAGAAAATAAAATAATAAAATAACATAATCGTGACGAATATGTCCAGAAATTATTGTCGAATTTCAATATCTGATATCATATAACAAATTATTCTTAAAAAATATGAAAATATATATGTAATTCTGTTTTATATGAAGTTTTAATTAATAATAATCAATCAATCAATCAATCAAGATTAAAATTCAATTTTAAATGCATAAATTTCAAATCACAAATTTTTATAGTATATCATATATGCTATAATTAAGATGTAAATAATATGTTTAGTTCATTAAGTCTCTATTAGATAATAAAAATATTAAATGCATTTTAATAAAAAGTGTTAATTAGACTTGAATTAGACTTATTCTTGAAAAAATATTAAATTCTTAATGTTCTTTAATATATAATCAATATTGTGATTTATCATTCTAAACAACATACTACTCAAGTACAAACAACAACAGTTAATTTTTTAAACACAAAATATCATTTTTTCAATTTCAGTATTAATAATACATAAAAATAGCAATCAAATATTTAAAATATTTAATACATTTTTGCATACAAATCTTGCAACATTATTCTAGAAAAAAATTTATTCTTAAATAATTCAAATTCCTTTTTAAATAAAGTAGTTTTTTTTATATATAATTTGTTAAAGAATTTTACGTTCGTGAAAACTGTTATATATTTTGTTTTTTTTGTATATTTTGAAGTAAAAATGAACTACTAATTATTATATTAAAGATGCTTGTACTTGTTTAAATATAATGAAATCTTTTGCTATAATGAAAGTGGACCCTGATATACACTTGTCATGATTACAAAAGCACCCATTTTAGCAAATAATACAATTACATTATCGAATATATAATATATATACTGTACGTCACGAATAACTCTTTACAATCAGTCAAAAATTCATTTTTATTTGTAGTTCCCATTTTTCCAACAATAATGTTGAAAGCTAGCAAAGCTTTAAAAGAGAAATCTCTTAGACTCAAAATACTATATGCATTCACGAATTATTTTTCGAAAATGATAGTATTTGAGTACTTCTTATTTGTGTCTTTGTTGTGTTATATCCCAGAGCAATTTCCAAACTAATATGGAAATATAATCATATTGGATAACGAACGTTTGACACTAGTGTACAACACTGAATGAAATAATCAATCAACTAATAATATTCATAAAACTTTTACTGCCACAAATTGGTAGAAAGCGTTTGTCCGGGAAGTGCAGTAGTAGTGGATTTTCCTGATGTACTTGAAAAACTCGTGGCACCTAAAGAAAGTTGTGCCATTTGTTGTGGTAACTGAAATATATTTATAATTTATTATTTATAATTATTTGAATATATTTATAATTTATCATTTATAATTATTTGAATATATTTATAATTTTTATTATTTCAATATTATTATATTACACATTTGAATTTATATACCTGAGAACCAAATGCAATAGATTGTTGCTGCTGTTGTGATGTTAAATTAAAAAAAGGATTACTACCAGGAGCTGGTTGAAGATTTTGTGTTAACATTCCACTCCAACCATTATTACTATTAATATTAGATTGCCCTAATTGCATTACCTAATAATATATGAATTAAATAATGTATTAACAAATAAAATAATATTTATAATATATTAATATATATTATATATACCATTTGAGATTGCATTGTAATGGCAGGATTGGGTACACCATTCATCTGATTTATCTGGCCTACATGTAAACAGTTTCCTAAAGAATTTGATGCCACTGGTCCTAATGGAGTAGAATTCATTGTAATTTGATTTTGATTGATAGGTAATTGATTGGATGTAACAGATATTTGGTTAGAAAGTTGATTAAGTTGAGTTAAGGAACTTTGTTGATTTGGAAAACTAGTTTGTTGACCAAATGGTACTACAGTTGGTACTTGTTTATATTGAACAGTAGATTGTTGAGCATACATTCCACCTAAATAAGAATAATATAAAAAAAATTGAATCAATATTTTAATCATAGTAATGAATAAATAAATGTACCAGGAACTCCAAACAATGTTGATTGTTGATTACTTGATGTACCATACAAGGCTAAAATACTATCTTTGGACATTTTATTTTTTTCTTGAAGTGATGGTGCTGGTTGATCAAAGAAACTT